CGAGAAATGAAAGATGATTTTTCGAAGATTGATTCGCTATAGTGAGATTTGTTGAACATCTGGATTTGCTATTTATATGTGTCACCCCCTCGACCAGAACGCACTGCCTGTCGCATTATGGGAGACCTCAAACCACTCGATCCAGTCGCGCTAGCTATTTCCCGCCATCAAAGTCGTTCTATTTCCTGCCATCAGCTTCGTTCTGGACCTGCGGTCGTCTACAGGCAGGTATGCATACATTAAGTAGTTACAGTAAGTTGCCTGATGTTTCAGTACAACGCCTCAAATATCTGCCGGCTGTTTCCAGTTAAGAAGCACTTCTGATACTTCTCATTCACAACATCCGCTTTACTGTTCGAACAATCCTAATTCATCTCCGGGACGCACAATAGACCGCTTTTTTGGAAGCTCCTAGTTCCTCCAGCCCAGTTGTGCCGATTCCTGCCAGCGCTCAGCAGAACCAGAGAAACCAATACGTTCAAGCTTTGCTATCAAGATTTCATGGTTGATTTTATAGAAAACAGCTGAAAAATCAGTATAGAATGTATCGACCTGCTTGTGAGCTTCTATAGTCTTGATGATAAAGCACGTGTACGGAACCAGATTAGTGCAGCTGGATCTCTTTTTCAGGAACCCATGTTGAGTCGCGGGAACGTAGTTGAGACAATGATGCTTGAGAAAGTCGAGGGCAATCAGTGCAAATAGTTTAGACGTAGCAAATAATGCTGCGATTCCTATGCAGTTCCAAACCTCTTGTTTATAGCCCTTTTGGAGCACGGGAAAAATGAATGATTTCTTCCATATTTTAGGAAAAGATCAGGATGAGAGCGAACGGTTGAAAATAGTAGCTAGAGGTTGCGAGATAGCAGAACTATTCCCTTCTTCAAGATGATAGATAGTATGCCGTCAGAACCGGGGTTTGATAATCATTTCAACCGAGCGCAAGCTGATTCAACAGTATTATGTTGCTCAATGCTCAAGTCTTTGGGATGATGCCTCTGTAACTCCAAATCCTGGGAACCCGGAACGCCCCATGGAAGCCCTCAATCCCGCCGTCTCAGTCCTGCCCATGGAATGAAACGGTTGACGTTTTTTACTACACTCGCTTCGTTGTCGTACGCGACAGTCTATTTGTATTCGTACACTCATGCTCTACGCTCTACCGTCGTCTCTCTCGCACCACACAAACGGTAGAGGAACACTCGAGATAAATAAAAACTATCAAATAACTATCATATGGCATGTGCTATTTCGTTCAAATTCCTCAATTTTGTGTAAATTAAACCATTTCTGATCAGAAATATTATTACTGGGACATCGTTGCTTGCTATTTTCAAAATTCACACAAGCACAACATCAGCATCTCTTATTATAAGAAAAATTAAAATAACCTATATAGGTGACGGTCTTAGGCGACAGTGTCGTATGACAGAGACTGTCATATGACATTTTAGTTTGGTACTGTACTTTGATAGCTTGTTTTGCAGGTATCGGAAGCAAAGGCAGTCAATTATCACAGAAAATGCGTCGACTACGGTGACCGCTAACCGTTCGTCATAGTCGTTCCGGACCTGCTGTCGGATGTGGAGAAGGGGTCTTCCAACCCACTCACTATGCCGAGTATTCAATCAGACTCGATGATGGTCTGTTATTGCCTGATGTATCTGTTATTTACAGGGAGTCAGTCTTTAAATTCTTTGACGCAAACAGGACGTCGTGATCTTCTAAAAAACCGCCGGTAGAATGAATTCTGATGTTAAAGAGTACCGCCTAGCTGCATCGGATCGTTCCAACGCAGTAATTGTGCGAAACGCGACTCGATTCACGAACACTTTCTTCGGTCCTGACTACTAGGTCTTTCGTTGCGATCAGAATCCTAACAACAGCCGTAAATCTACTGGTGGAGGTGTCCTTATAGCTGTCCGTGGTTGGTTTGAAGGCAAAGGCCATCGAGGACGATTTATGGAACAATGTGGAGTAAATTTGGACAGCCATCAATCTGGGTGATCGCGCACTATTTCTATGCACTCTGTACAGTCCACCTGATCGAGTCCGCGACAATGAACTCATCGATACTCACTGTCGGTCAGATTTCACAGTTATCGAAAGTTACTGATAGCTCTACATTTCATGCAGGTGCTATTACCCTTCTCGACAACTACAGCGCAACAACGCTTTCTCAAATTAACCATGTAGGTAACGATAATTTCCGTAGTTTGTACTTCAGCTTCATGAGCACTTAGGATAGGGCTCCATTAATTTCCTCGACTCCTAGTGGACAAACTAAGCGAGTTCCTCATCACCCTCCTCTAATTGTCACTATTGAGGACAAACTTGTACGTGATTTCGACGATTATTCTGCTGCGGTTTCTTATGACTTCCGTGAAGCTGACCCGAGAGCTGACCGCGAGTAATACGTACCACGTAAATCGAATTCGCGTAAATGGAGTACACGTAACACATGGGATTTGACCTAATAGGGACCAACATGGAATATTTCGCGATCCTGGACATATAGAAGATTACTGTCTTCACGGAAACAAATCCTATTCCATTTTCATGAATAAAAAATCATGAAATGAAAAAAAAACTTGCCATCCCATGAAGTCGCAACAATGATTCATGATTTCGGGATGGAAATTCATGATTCCATAATGCAGAGGAATCAAGACCGCTACAAGCGTTACACGTACTTGACAAACCGTATTCATAAACCGCACTACATAGGTATCTCTTATACGTCTTTTGCCTTCCTTATAGTCTAGTGGTCAAGGTATGGGTTTAATGATCGTTGGGTTCTTGGTTCGAATCCAGTCTGTTGCTTTATTTTATTTTTTTTTTTTTACATTTTTTGGTTAACAGTTAAACCCATGAATTTAGCTCATGATTTCAACTCTGATGATTTATGATTTTGGAAATGTTTGCTGCGTTACGCAAAAGTTGCTCATGATATCATGAATATTATTCATGGTGTATTTTCATAACATGAAAATACGCTGTGTTCATGAAATCATGAGCCATTTTTCTCATTTCGAAGATCGGATTTTTTCCCGTGTTGGGCAAAGCTGTTCAATAGATCAAGACCTAATGGTTTGTGGACAGAAGTTTGGAATTTTCTCAATACGCGGCGCTAGTGTGCATGTATTAGTCATTTCCTTGTTTATGTAATATCTTGAAATCTTTGTCATCTAGGAAGTTGCTTTCTTCTGCGAATTTGTTCAGTGGATCATGACCTTATCGTTGGTGGACAGAAGTTCGGAATTTTCTCACTACGTGGCGCTAGTGTGCATGAATTAATGATGCCCTTATTTTTGTGATATCTTGAAATCCTTGTCATCTTCGAAGTTGCTTTCTTGGGCAAAGCTGTTCAGTGGATCAAGACCTTATCGTTGGTGGACAGAAGTTCAGTATTTTCTCACTACTCATCGCTAGTGTGCATGTATTAGTGATTTCCTTGTTTATGTGATATCTTGAAATCCTTGTTATCTAGGAAGTTGCTTTCTTGGGCGAATTTGTTCATTGGATCAAGACCTTATCGTTGCTGGACAGAAGTTCGGACTTTTCCTACAACGTGGTGCTAGCACTCCATTTACGCTAATTCGATTTATTATTATTCGCGCTCTTCAGGGGGAGAGTGTACTCCATTTACGCGATTCCCTCGCGTAAACGGAATCATACGAGACCGACGAAAATGGAATTCGTGTAGACCGAGTTGATATGGGAGAACATCCTTGATCTCGATGACGTTGAGGCTGCAGCGCAAACCTTTTCACATGTCTACACTCTTAGAAATAACTAATTTTACACGTGATGGAATCCATCTTTGACATAAAGATGAGACTTAAACAAACATGTCATGTAATATTAAGTTCTCCGAGACTGAAAAATTCGTTGCGTCTATTATAACTCAAATTTATGTCAAAATTGACGCTCGTAAATGTCACTCTCAGAGCACTTAATTTACATGTTTTTTTTTTTCTAAGTGTGTAGGCATATTTCTTTTTATTATTATATTTTAACCCTCATCAAACATTTGAGCATAAATTATTTGTCAATCTTTCATTAGTATAAAGATTAATTTTGTAATGTTTTGAATATATGCGCTTCTTTAAAAGGATACTTTATCCACTAGAAGCGCATCAATTGTTTCACCGTACTAATCTCTTCTTATTGTAGAATTGTAAATGAAAATATTCACAGCCATTTTAGATGCAGTCGATGGCTGAGTTTTTTAGTGTCCACTACCAGGGGCACAAAATATGTCATTAACAGACACGTCCCGAAAAGAACTCACCACAAAGTGTCTCACCCTCCCTGACAGGCGAGAGAGCTACGAACACTGATAGACAAAATAAAGTGCCCGCCTCATTTTTTTTAAATTTCTCTCATTTATTTGGTTCAAATTAAAATAAACACATTGTAGTATTTTTTGATATATTATAATTTTGTATATACTTTTAAAGTTTCACTAATGGAATACTAAAAAAAAAAATTTACTTCAAGAAAAAAAAAATCAATTTGTAATGAAATAAAAACAGTGACAAAAAATAGCCACTATCTGATTCTTTAACAATACTTTTAGCTAAGAATTCTTAGTTGCTACAGAGTATCGGTTTTGCCTCAGTAGTAGTCAATATATTCAGTAATAATCTAATTATATAAGCCCTTTTCAGATGGAATTCTCGATTAATTAAAGTGAACTTATTTGCTGCTAAAAACTGTCTGCATAGTTTATTGACAGCTCCTAATGGTTTCTCAAAGAACAGGCCTCAGAAACCCTTAAAAATCGCATCAAATCGAAAAAATTTCAAATTGTTGAGATTATCTACATTTTAAGATTCCTATTCCAGAACAATCGGTGAAGTCCCCATCAAATTCTTGAATGTAATCAATAAACCTTCCGGGTTTCGAGTACACATGACTCAAAGGATCCACTTAATCGAACGTCTAACAAACCTTTGCCCAAAAAACTAACATTGTCATGTACATTTCCTTTTCAGCAACAACCTATCCACAAGTGACGATGTGGCCGATATAGAACGAATCCTGAACCTATTTCAAGTGCTTGTCAACGTAACCGTTTCGAATTTCAGCGCATTAGCACCATTTACCATTAATGACAACGACAACAGTCTACCGCTCACCAACGTCGACATCCTATCGGTGGTCAGTGCCGTACATCCGCACCATGAAGTTGCTATAAACAGTTTCGATCCGGTCTACAACGATTTGCCAATTAAGCAAGTCATCACCGAACGTGGCATCTGTTACACGCTCAATGCTCCACTCTCTCGGCTGCAGGCCACCTCTGGTGTCAACCGAGACCAAAGGTACCATAAGAGAACCAGTACATTTTTTTTACTTGAATTAAGTTTCATTAAATACTTTCCCTTATTGTTCGATCTATTTTCAACAGTGCAAATTCACTAAATGTCGCTTTTTCACAAAAACCAATAACATGTGCTTACTCAAAAAATCAATGCTACATGAAAATTGATACCTACGAATCAACGGTATCGGTAAGTAATCGGAAATACATTCAATCAAAAATATTCAAATTAAAAATCAAGAAACCTTAAACGTGACAGAAACGAGCAAAATGTTGCAATGCTAAACGAGCTTAAAAAAATAAGAAGGGCTCATTACAGATGAATTTAATTCACCATCGAAGAACCGCTCACTTCGATCAACAGTTGTAATGTTTTCTTATTTAATTTCAAAGTTCCTTCCGTTTGCATGCACTTTCCTGCTGTTCTGACAGTACTTACTCCACTCTCCATTTGAACTGGCCACGAACGATGTACAATTTGCTGTAATGAACGAAACTGATGAGCTTGTCGCTTCCTATGTCGTGCTGGAAACAGAGTAAGTAAAACAATGTCATTAAACGATTCCCCTGGTACATGTTTAATCAAGACCGAAGTGCACTTTCCCGATGAATGTATGGTTGTAAGTGCGACAAAGGAATTGCGTGTAGGTAGGGCAATGGTCCTATAAAGTGCACTGCATGAGTTGAGTACCGTTATCTATTCTAGTTTGAATAGATACGATTTCGTTGCTAATACAATACCTTCCGCTCTTCACAGGGCCAGCGATAGGCTACGAGATTTATCAGTAAAACAACGCAGCTGCATTTTCTATGATGAAAAATATCAAGGTTTAGAGGTAGTTTTTCTGTGTTAAAACACTCCCCGTTTTACGATAAACAAACATCCTATGGTTTCAACAGATTTATACATACAACCTGTGCGTGATGCACTGCCGAGCAACCAGGGCCCTGAATCTTTGTCAATGCAAGCCGCACTTTTACCCTTTCGTAGGTAGGCATTATCGTAGTACTGTGAGCGACTTCGTTGATCTTGTTAAGCAAAATTATTCACACTAAAATCAATTTCTATGCACTGCGCAGATGGTCCCACGTGCACTATCGGTGGGCTGCGGTGCCTAGCGAACCATCCCAGCTGGCACGATAAGCATTCCTGCCGCTGTTTGAAGCCGTGTACCGAAATTGTGTACTACGTACTGAGCGCTACCAAAAGCCACTGGTGAGTATGAGTTTGAGCACATTCGGCGCAGAGACAGCGAGCGTTTATCACCTTGAATCCGGGCTTTATCGTGATTATTCCTACCAGGGCTGCTGAAGGAGGCATTCCATTCAAGCAGAAGGCTTCCGTCCGATGGGAAATCGTTCAACCGAAAATGCGAATCCGACGGGATGTGCTGTTCACTTTCGAAGATTTACTAGGTACGTGTAGCGTTTTATTGAATTTAGAACTTACATTGAACAATTACCAGCTGCTTTGATTTGCAGTTTCTTTTGGCGGTGGCATTGCACTTTTTGTAGGTAAAAACCTATTCGCGTTTGCTGAAGTACCAATATTTTTAGTAAAGGAAGCAATGGAAAAGATTTTCTTTATGATCAAAAGAACCAGGAAATAGATTTGTGCAAAATAATCATGATTGAAGAAAATATAACAAATACGGAGTGAAATGTGAGTGGCGGAAAAATATTTCCAATTGAACAGAAAAAAAATCCCACAGCCCTATCTTTATTTTGAAACCCGTAAACCAGAGCAAACACGAATGATGAGTACCACTAAACGGGGTTACTTTGATAGTTTTTAAAGTAAATATATTCTTGGGCGTCGAAATCGTCGCTTGCCAAATAAATATGAAGAACAAAGATCTTTGCATATTGTGCGTTAAAATAAAAATTATATGTACGTCGCTGGTAAACTGGCAACCTGGCTCACTTCCGACACGATTTTTCAGAAAAATAAAATGTTTTCGCAACACTTCAATATTGTCAGCTGTGTTGACAATAACAAAAACATCGGTACTGATTTCGAAATTCGTCTCAAATTGTACTTTTTCTGGTGTTGTCTGCCCGTTTTATCGCAAGTATTCTCATTGATTTCCGCTCCAGTCAGCTGATGGCCAACGGAAGTTATCAGAGAATCATTTTCGAAAAGCATCGTCGTACACTCCACCTCAAAGTCGCGATCAGCTAAATGTATGGTTTCAGTTCGGTTGTTTGATGTTGGGTTCGATAGTGTATAATTATATGGACGTATGCAAACAATGCTGTCGTAATGCGTTCTCGTACCGTCTGCCCCGCGATAAAATATTTCGAAGCTCCGAAGATCCGTATCTCCGCCAGCTTCTGGGCTGAATTTTATACAGGCGTTATCCTGATAAACTTTTATACTCACCGCGAAATAGTTCGACAAGGAAGAAATACACTCAGCGCCGCCCCAATATCCAGGAGTCTTCAACATTCGTAAATACTCCTCGATTTTTTCCGCAAGTGGCAAAGGATCACGAATCAATTCGTCAGCGTAGGTAGCTAGATGATCATAATAGCTCTCTCTCCGATTTCTCATCTCACGAACGGCGATTTCCCTTAACTGTTTGCTGTATGGCTTGAATAGCATGTTTTTTGGTGTAATGCCGTAGATCTGGTGAACCAGCGATCCGAACAAGCAATCTCCATCTTTGGGAATGCTCAAAACCCAATAACGATTTTGCTGCAGATCAAGTATTTGCTCCATGATTTCTAAAAGTTAGTCAATAATGATGTATTTAGGCATAGGATAATAATATTTCAAAACTTACGTGATTTGAGAACGTAGGAATAAAATTTAACGGAGCAAAAGTTTCTCGAGGGATTGGAACGATAATGCAGATTGAGCTTGGTCAATGGCGAAGTGATAGTGCGTACAGTTTGGTTGAATGAATATCCACGCAAAGTGTTGGTTGTGTGAAAAGATCATGAAATGGGGAGAAAGGCGTGTGGGTGTAGGTGTTCATTGAAGATATAAGTGATAATGATTGTATGAGAAAGACACAAGTGTGTATAGGTGTGTTGGAAGTGAATTGAACGTAGGGTGGATGTGCCGGTCTTTGTTATGTTTATGGTGTGGTATGTGTTCTGGATGCGACCTCGAGAATTCCATGGATCTTGGGTGAAGCGCAACGTGATGGGGGAGTATGACCGTTCAAACCAAGATGACATCATATTATAAACAGCTTTCGGGGACGCCGTTTTATTTGCATAGCTTTGTTGCGTATGCAACCACTCGACGAACACTTGAAGAAATATTATTATTTAAAAAAATATTTTCAGCTCTTCAATGATGAAACATCTTTTGAATTCGTTGATGACGGCACATCTTTGGATTTATAACGTAATGATAAGTTTTTTTCCAGCCTTCACTCAAGTTAGATCCGTTTTTTTTAAATAACATAAGTTTATTTTCAGCTCGTTGAATATTTGAATAGGGGAAATGACGGCTTCGGCATGCCAGACTATTATCGGCAACCCAAATTGAAACACTATTTTCACTGGATTTTCTTACGAAAACACTTCGCTGAATGCATGCAAACGATTCTTTATGCTTTCAGCTTCAATTTGACTATATTTTTACCACTGAGAAAAAGCAATCTAGCAGGATTTTCTTGAAATGAAACACACGCACTACAAATTGTAGCTGATTTCGAGTTGCCGATAATAGAACAGCAGATTTACATGCAGTTCAAATGGAACGGTTGCCGAAGAAAAACTGGTTGCCGACAATACTCGCTCTCACTAGAGAAGATTGGAGCTTTGTAAAAGCGTTTCAAAACAGTTTTTGACAATTCTTTCGACTGAAATTGTTAGAGCAGCTGGCAGCAAAAGATTATAAACAAACCAATACTGCATATGTGTGCGTTCCTTACAGAAAAAGGCTATAGGAAGAAGGTCGCTGCTTAGGTTGCCGAGAATACGTAAATTCCCCTATGTGGCATCATTAGATTTACATAATAATAAAACATTTTTTTCAGTTTTCATTCATGCGGGATGTATGGATTTTAATTATCTATGCTTGCTTTCAGTTCTTCGATGATGAAACACCTCTAGGATTATATTATAATAATTCATTTATATTATTGAACTTTGCATTTATTTTATATTATAAATATTCACTTTTTCAGCTTAGAGATGAACTAGCCTACAGAAGTTAAAGTAAAGTTAATGTAAAGTTAAAGTTAAGTTAAAGTTAAGTTAAAGTTAAGTTAAAGTTAAGTTAAAGTTAAGTTAAAGTTAAGTTAAAGTTAAGTTAAAGTTAAGTTAAAGTTAAGTTAAAGTTAAGTTAAAGTTAAGTTAAAGTTAAGTTAAAGTTAAGTTAAAGTTAAGTTAAAGTTAAGTTAAAGTTAAGTTAAAGTTAAGTTAAAGTTAAGTTAAAGTTAAGTTAAAGTTAAGTTAAAGTTAAGTTAAAGTTAAGTTAAAGTTAAGTTAAAGTTAAGTTAAAGTTAAGTTGAAGTTAAGTTAAAGTTAAGTTAAAGTTAAGTTAAAGTTAAGTTAAAGATAAGTTAAAGTTAAGTTAAAGTTAAGTTAAAGTTAAGTTAAAGTTAAGTTAAAGTTAAGTTAAAGTTAAGTTAAAGTTGAGTTAAAGTTAAGTTAAAGTTAAGTTAAAGTTAAGTTAAAGTTAAGTTAAAGTTAAGTTAAAGTTAAGTTAAAGTTAAGTTAAAGTTAAGTTAAAGTTAAGTTAAAGTTAAGTTAAAGTTAAGTTAAAGTTAAGTTAAAGTTAAGTTAAAGTTAAGTTAAAGTTAAGTTAAAGTTAAGTTAAAGTTAAGTTAAAGTTAAGTTAAAGTTAAGTTAAAGTTAAGTTAAAGATAAGTTAAAGTTAAGTTAAAGTTAAGTTAAAGTTAAGTTAAAGTTAAGTTAAAGTTAAGTTAAAGTTAAGTTAAAGTTAAGTTAAAGTTAAGTTAAAGTTAAGTTAAAGTTAAGTAAACAGTTAAGTTAAAGTTAAGTTAAAGTTAAGTTAAAGTTAAGTTAAAGATAAGTTAAAGTTAAGTTAAAGTTAAGTTAAAGTTAAGTTAAAGTTAAGTTAAAGTTAAGTTAAAGTTAAGTTAAAGTTGAGTTAAAGTTGAGTTAAAGTTAAGTTAAAGTTAAGTTAAAGTTAAGTTAAATCATTTTATATTCTGATTATACTCACGAGTGCGTGTGTGTGCGTGTGTGTGTTTTTGTGTTTGTGTACCTTTCATAAATCACTACAATCAGCATTAGTTTACCAAAAACGATCCCTGCTGCTGCAAACCTTTCCCCACATCCAACATCCCAGTGATTTCTCGTGGAAGCGCAGAGGATTTCTCGGTTTCCTTCACAGCGAGTATCACGTCAACACATTCCTTCCCATTCCTTATTGGACCTGCATTCGGACACGGCCGGCGCTGGTATTGCTAAACATTAGATCTTCAGTTTTTACACATTGAGGATGAATGTTAGTCCCAAACATCATCTGTTGGTTCTCTGTGTAATTGCAGCTGATCTGGCAATAACAGAGTAGCAACCGTGGGCGGTCAATAATGCTAATGCTAATGCTAATGCTAATGCTAATGTTGTCTGCCCGTTTTATCGCAGTAATGGATGAATCTATTGTGTAATGTATTATCTATATTCCTCAATTTCATATTATAACTAGAAAATAACTTCATTATAGAAATCTCGAAGACTTCGAAGTTCCGGACACAGCAGGAGCCGAATATATTGACGATGAGGAAGCTGGTACATCGTGCGAAAAGAACGAATACGTTTATTCGTTCACCGGAATCTTCTTTCAACGCTTCTACAGAAACCAGTTGCGCCCGAAAAAATGGACCAGGATGACCGTCTATGGAGACAGTAAAACCAACAATCAATACGAAACTAACGATTTTAAATTGGCTCACTGCTCGACTAGCCTAATGGTCTCAAGCAAACGATTAACGTACCCCATTCTAGTCGAAATTCTACTACTACACAATGTTTGTTTTGATTAGCTATGAATGTTTGACAGATAAAATGAGGGGTTAGTGGATATTCCTATGTTTTGAGGGGTGAATCGATTAGTTTGGGACCGAAGATAGTACCAGAGCTGAGCCAAAAAGTTGAGCTCGTTTCTTCGGGACCTTCTGGTCTTAGAGTTACCTCTATGGTACAACCGAGATTGTGGATTGTATGTGGAGCATTGCGTTGGCTAAAATAGAACGGCAGGTGGTGTTTGACCAGGACACTCCCCGATGGTCGGAAAACGCTTATTCTTCTTCTTCTTCGCATTTCAAGCTTATTGCATATCGCATATTAGCTTATTGCGTGCTCTCAACTTAGTGTTCTAGATGCACTTCCACAGTTATTAATTGAGAGCTTTCGATGCCTGTACCATTTTTGCATTGGTATAATTGTGTGGCAAGTCCAATCATACTTCTATACCCAGGGAAGTCGAGAAATTTTCCAACCCGAAAAATTCCTAGACCGGACCGGGAATCGAACCCAGCCACCTCCAACATGGTATTGCTTTGTAGCTGCGCCTTTACCGACTGAGCTAAGGTTGGTCACAAACGCACAGCCCACAGTTAATGACGTCGATGAATTCGTAACATTGTAGGACACCACGAAGAAGATGTACGCAATTGAATCCGTTTCAACCAGGATTTTGAGAGGATGGAAGAAAAAAACTGTGCGAGTTTATGTGTACGTGTGGTCAACTAATGTTGAAACCAGTGCCCAACATCAAGCCGTTCTGCGGAAGTTGCTTTCACCTCAAAATCGAGATCGAGCTGGAGCACATTCTGTCCGAGACGATTCTGCTTTGGCAGATGAACTGCGTGATAAACATAATCACCTGGAAGGACATTACAGCTCGTGGCTCTTAGGGGTCGTCCATTAATTATGTCAAATATGTTGAGGGTGAGGGGGGGTTTTGAAAACTGTGACGAGCATACAAAAAAAATATGGTCCATACAAAAAATGTGACAAACGGGGGAGGGGGGGTTAAAAATGGGCCAAATTTGCGTGACATAATTAATGGACCATCCCTTATAGGCAAACGTAATTCATTCCTCGCCAGCACACAAGCAAGACGAAACGAAAAATTCTACCACTCCTCCGATGCAATTATCGAAATACTTTCGATGGGTTGCATCTTCAGAGCAGAGCCGATTGGAAGCCGTACATAAAGGAATGATTGTTGCACAAAACAATAGCAGTGGATGGGTGAGAGAAATTAGCAACGTGAAGCAAGTTCTAATGGGTGCTAAAAATATGCTGAATGGAGCTTTGGCCAAAATACAGGAGTTGGAAAGCATAGGATTAGTTTGGATCGAGCTATTCAACTCCATGGAATTAGCTGTTCGTCCGGAGGACACGGAACTCAGTCAGAGCCGGTGCAGATTGCGAAGACTTGGATCATAAGTGATGGAAATAACCTTTTCGTAAACCAAGTGTCACATACTTCTTATTTCTTTCGATTCGATATGCTGAAATGAAATGTTATTTGTATTTGATTACTGATTTTCTTTATTTACGAGAATAATAAATCGAAAAAGTTGCTGCTTCCAAGGGGTGGTCACTCTACACACTTGTTTTGCGCCAACTTTTTTCTCAGTGTACCTCAGTGTGCCGCAGCTGTACCGGCAGTGCCAAGAAGTCATTGAACTGACTTTTGATTGCTTGTGAATAATGCCTTGTTGGCAACCCGGTATTTTAACAGCTCTTGTTTTTGTTTAGTTTTTCAATGTTTTCAAAAACGACACGGGCTCCAGCTGGGACTACACACTCGATGCATCCGTCTCCAAGGATGCCTGCAACGGACGAGCTCCGTTGCTACACGATCCTTTCATCTTCGGCGGAAAGCCGACCCGGCACAACGAACGTCAATAATTAGTCAACCAACCCTTCTGGGAGCCAGTGGAGGAAACGGATTTGAACCGAATTTTTCACGGACTGATGAAGGACGCACCGCTGACCCGAAACGGACCAGCCAATTTTTCAAGCAGAACTACTTGTCAGAGTCCACCAACCCGTACAACCTGCCGGACAATTCGATCAGCTTCAAGGTCTACAGCGCCTCCAAGAACAATCGCTTACCAGGCCAGCAAAAATCGCATTCTCCACTTCTTCAATACCCCACCCGTATGCCGTCCGAGGATCTGCTGCTGACTGCATTCACCACCAAGGACTGCCACCCGTCGCAAGTGCGAATGTTCCCGCTGAAATCGGAAAGTTCCTCCTCCGGATTGGTCGAGTTCCCTAGCGTAGCCCTGGCGGTGAACGTCATCATGAAGTGCAACCACAGCGCGATCGATCACAAATGCACAAAACTCCCTCTTATTATGAAGTTGTGCGAACGGTGCGTGGAGCAACGAGAACACCGAAAACACGTTAGCTTTCAAAGAGCGGAAGCTTCTTTTTCTGAGAAAAGAAAGGATTTTCCTTTTTCTGTGTAGTTAATGTTATGATTCGTAAATATAATTTCTTATTGTGTTAGTTGGAAGTGCAAAAAGGAAGGAGAGTAAAAATAATTTGTTGAACTATTTGAGATTTTGCCAAGACGGTCCTCCAACATTATATGTTGAACGATGGAATGGTTGGTGTAGCAGCCACCGCCACCGCCATGGTTGTTTACAAAAGCAATTACGCCCAAATCTCAAAGTTCTCCGGATTTGCAATATGTGTGTACGAATATATTACAACAAATGTGTGCTTTATTATTTCTAGATGCGATTGATTTCAAGATATACTAAAAAACTGTGCTGAGTTTTTATTGCCAGATTATGATATGATAAATAATGGATTTCATTGTTTACCATGCTCAAAACAGGTTTCTAGAGTTGCACAGCAGCAAGGTATTTTCTTCCTAACGTCCATTATGCCTATAGTATATTATGCCTAACGTCCATTATGCCTAATGACTTTATGCCTAACGTCCATTATGCCTAACGTCCATTATACCTAACGTCCATTATGCCTAACGTCCGTATGCGTAACGTCCGTATGCCTAACGTATTTATGCCTAATGGGGTATACTCGGCTCTCTTCTCTGCTTGTCTTGATCAAGCTTAATAACCTCTGATTGTTCTCAACATGTCGCTGTATGAAGGGCCAGTAGATGGGTAGATCGATAGGCAAAGTCACCTATACGCATCTACGGAACAATAAAGAATCTCCTTCCAGCAACATGATCAGCCAATTGGTCAAAAAGACAAGCCCCAAACAGGAAGATGCCCCAATGAGTGGGGAGAAAAGCCCGCCCTTTATCCACGAAATGTTATCAACAGGGAGTTGGCATTCCCACTCTCCCTGTCCAAATCGCTTCAATCAGGTGCCCGGTTAGACCGTCCCTTCCCTTGTATTTATGTATTTCAATGTATTTACGAGTAGATTGTTATGATTATTGTCAATAATACTTACATTTCGATGAAGATCGTGATACTTATCATCACAGAAACCAATCTTGAATCGTAGACCAGGTCCATCAACAATACACTCGTTCCGAGAAGGGGCTCATGGTCATCTTCTTCTTCTTCAGGTTTGCTCACAACCCGGAATGAAGGCTCGGTGCGGTTAGTAATATCAAACAGTGTTACACGCAAACGAAAAAGAGATACAACCAGGATTAGTTTTTTTAAGTAATAGTTTCATCTGAATACCCAACTAACCATATCTCAGTGGCATTGTCTCACTCTGAACCTACATTTAAAGTTATTTTGTGGTTATATCGCTACGTTGGTACTCACATGAAATGTTGTGCAAGTACCACAAGTTCAGCAACGCCCAACTGTGGACAGTTCAATGTTAATACCATTTACTCTTTGAATCAGCGTACACCAACATGATAATCTTCAAATAAACACATAAGAATGCCCACAGAGATAAAGCTGAAAATACAATTTTAACTGATGGTACTTTATTAACATCAAACTGTCCAATATTGGACCCTGCCAACACATGGCGCCTGCACGGTAATGTGGGCCGTCAGAGTGGTTCATCGATTGCGAAGTGAAGTGCTTCTCAAACTGAAGCGATACATTTCTCAATTTTTCAACGTTATCCTAACGTGAACTTAATATTATCATCACCCATATGCCCGTCCACGCCCGAAACCCATTCACCACACAAAATCAAATAAAAATGTGTCTGTATGGCAAACACATTCAGACATAAACGAGAATATGGGTGTATATCTTTACTGTAATAACTACGGGTAATCATCGAAAGTACTTGCATTTTACTCAGGCAAAACTGCAATCACTCTCTCATACTCGAAATGTTCCACGACCAAATTGGCACAACGACGCCCTATACGCTCTCTGACCAACGCGCAGGGCTTTCGATTTTGGACAAGAATCCCAAAACTTGGATCACCATCAAGGAGCTACTGGAGACGGAATGGATAACGCAGGAAATCAATTTGTTACAGTTCAATTTAGCCAAAACCGCTGCGCCCCTGCGAACCGTGCGAAACCAATCCGGAGAACTACTACGTAAAGCTTGAGTAATTTAATATCTGGACGCATTGTTTATTTTACTGCAGTGCTCCTAGCGGTCAGATCTGGAATGTTATGACAGCAGTTTGTTTTGAAATGTTTCCTCTTTCAGTGCTGAAAGTGGCTAAATCGACCGTGTGCAGTGTTCTCAAACGTTTCCACGAGTGGCATACTACCGATAGGCAGGTCATAGCAAGCATCTTAGTGGAGTCAACGATCTGAAGCTGCATTTGAAGGTGTTGTGAACGGTTAGGGCAATCCCAGGGATGTCAAATTATTTTAACGTCAAGAAATTCAATGCCAGCCAAAGCACCGTCAGATAGATTCGTCAGCGAGAAGGATTTCGATCTTTTCGGCCAGTAAGCAACCAAACAGGACACTGAAGTAGAATCTAGTGACCAAAAGACGTGCCCAGAGGTTGTACAATGAGATTCTTACAAAGTACGATGGATGCATCTTCATGCACGACGAAACGAACGTGAAGATTATACCCAGGTTTTCGTGACAAACAAGCCTATGGATTCGAAAATGTATAAACAGGAGTACATGAAAAAACGTATTCTTCCATACATTAAGGCTCACAATGGACCTGTAAAGTTTTGGACTGATTTGGCAAGCTGCCACTACAGCGGAGAAGTTATACAGTGGTATCGAGACAATGGTGTAGATTTCTTCGAAAAGGACATCAATCCACCCAACTGCCCTCAATTCTGCCCAATTGAAAAATATTGGGAAATTGTCAAACAGAAGTTCAAGAAGAGTGGAAAAGTGACTCGGGATGCGACAGAGATGCAAATATGGTGGAACAAAACGGCCGCTTACGTTAGCCAACAGAGTGTCCAAAATATGATGAGTGGTATTCGAAGAAAAGTTCGACATTTCATCAAAAGAAAATTGGATTTTTTTCGCAATTTTTCCTTTAAAGTGCAATAATTGACCATCATTATGAGTACTAAACATTTTTATTTCACTAAGATACATCCGAGATACATCCGTTTATTTTGCGTCCAGATATTAAGTGACTCAAGCTTTAGATGCGCCTCCATCTTCCAACCAGACGGGACTGTCCACGTAGCCGCACAGCCTTTCGATGGTGAAGATGACGATGAGCATGTCCACATGGATGATTCTTTCACGGACCCCGACGAGAAGCTGGGCAGTGATAGTGGATTCATTTTGTTCGATGTCCTCTCGATGAATCTTCCAGGGATTACTCACTACACTTGACTCGCGGGGATATTGCACTATCATACCGATTGCGCCAGTTATGTTTCGATTGAACTTCGAAGACTTAAAAAAAAACTTAAGTCTACCCGCGACGATGGTCTGAACTAGAATGATTTATTGCCTCAATTTGAATTGTATGTGCGAAATACAAAAGAGCTTACATTCTCTGAGAAAGTGTTTACTTCTAATTATTATCTTATGTACTGCTACCAACCGGTGTCGGGTTGACTTGCTGTTGCCTTTGTCATGTTGTTACGTTATTAACGTTGATAATGTCGTTGTTGTTGTTGCTGTCGACGCTGCCACTCGTACTAGTCTTTGGTGTTGAGGATCCCTGGAAATGATGATTGTGCTATCACACTCAATGCTATGCCCATTTGTTGTTGTTCTTGTTTAATTGTGTCCAACCGATGGCCGATATCTTCTGGTGTTTGGGATGTTGTTGGTGAGCGGTCCTTAATTTATATAGATCACCTAATCCTACATGTCCTGCTTTTCCACAAACATCAACAAACCTGCACAAGATTCTACTCATATTCCTAGTATCAAATATTGACCATACATTTGAATACATTTCTTCATTCCAATAAAATTTGATCATTTTCATCCTTCATCTGCAGAAGGCGGCACACCGCTAGCTAAATCGTTATCTGTTGCTTCCAGCATCTGCATAGCCGTTTGATCAGCACCATTTCTCAACTGTAAGTTTGCATTTTTCGCTAGCAAGTATTTTACCACTTCGAAACAACCCTTCTGGATGGCACAGTGCAGTGGAGTGTTCCCATTCTTATCCACGCAGTCTACATCACATTCCAACTCCTCAATCAGAAGCTTAGTCGGGGCGATTCGATCTTTTTCCGCCGTTATATGCAGAAGTGTTTCACCATCGTAGGCATTATTTCGAAACTCTTTCACCAGATCTATGCTAGCTCCATAGCCCAGCAACTTTCGATACGCATCAAGATGTCCTTTGGATAGAGCTCGCATTAAAGGCGTTGACCCGTGTTTGTCAGTACAATCCACCGTTGCTCCAGCAATGACTAGAATATCAATCATTTCCAGCTGATTACAACCGGCAGCATAATGTAATGACGTCATTCCGTGTTTGTCGCAGTGATTTAAATCAATGTCGGAAATGATGAAGTTGAGCATATCCACCAACCCTCGTTCCACGAGATAATGTTGAACCAGGTGTTGATTGTCATTTTCGTAGCGGAACTCTTGTAACAATGATATATTTGCATTATTATCCAAAAGCAACTGGACCATCTCCTTGTGGTTATTCTCCAAGGCTGACTGGAGAGGAGTTCGTTTCTTTGAATCCTGATAGTTGGCGTTTGCTCCATACTTCAGAAGAGCAGCTGCTGTTTCCGTATGCCGCATAACTACTGCGTAGCTTAGTGGAGTTTGCTGGTGATTATCGGTAGAATCAACCGGAATTTGGAACTCGTCTAATATTACTTTTACAAGCAAATGGTAATTTTTTATTGCTGCAATGTGCAGCCAAGTGGTTGTGTTCAGAAAAACTCGATCCTGTAGAAACGACCTCTCAAATCCGCATTCCAAGAATAACTCTATCAGTTCTTTATCGTTCCTCAATATAGCAGACTCAAGTGGATTGCTATCATAGCTCTTTTTAATCAAATCGATGAATCGCTCGTTTCCTGCAAACCAGCACTTCCTATTGTTCAAAAGCCATCTGCTATAGTTTTTGGTAAACTGTGTAGGGTTCAGTTGTAGTACTTGCTTGAAAACCGATATCAAAGGGTCAACGGTGGTCAATGATTGAATGAGGGCGAAGAAAACCTTCAAATTTGATTGAAGTAAACAAATCGAAAGGGGAGATTCCCCAAAATTATCCTTCGCAAATAGTAAGTCCGGATTGAATCGGAGTTGCTCTATCAATGTGGCATTACCTGTAGCAACGGCATAATGAAGAACTGATTTACCATTCAGATCAACACAACTGCAATCAAGCTTGTAATCATTCAGTAGCCGCATAAACAATCCAATGCTACCTTTATCGAGTGCGATGTGTAGAATGGATTTTTGAGAACCAGACATTCGAAAATTTCTAAGATATTCTCGGTCAGATGTGGCCGTGAGTAGTCGCTCTGCAGTGTCAATATGACCTGATAGAAGAGCTGCTACGAATGGTGTTCGCTGGTGATGATCAATCAAGTCAGGGTTCGCACTTAGTTTCAATAATTCCTCAACCGGTTGAATCGTTCTCATCAGAGCAGCATAGTGCAAGGCCGTCCGCCCAGAATTATCTCGGACATTCACATCAATCCCTACTCTATTGACCAGAAGTTCAACTAATCCTACGTCTTGGTAATCCACCACATGCAGGACCGATGAATCATCACTAGAGGCAACACGAAACGATATTGTATTGTCAACTTTGACTCCAAGATCGAGGAGAAAGATTGCCACTTCTTTCTTCGAGTTAAAGATAGCTCTCGTTAGCGCTGTAGTGTTCTGTAAGTCCACAAAGTTTACATTCGCATCGTACTGTAGCAAAAGTTTTACGCATTCTAATTGTCCATACATGGCTGCTTCTTGTAGAGCTGTAGTCTGATCAATATCTCCGACATCTACCTGGAAAACAGCTTTCTCAAGCAACAAATTCAGACAAGACGTTAGACCATTCCGAGAAACAACATGCAGAACTGTTTCCTGGTCTTTAGTTGGCAAGCGAAAATTTCTCAACTCTTCCAGAGATGCTTCATCATCTATGAGAGTTTCTGCAAGTGTTCGATTTCCTTCAAGCAAGTGTTGTATCAATCGTGACGTGGATATTTGAGACTCGTTGGTATTTACTAGTGGCTTAACACACCCACCATCCAAAGCTATCTGATCTAGTGAAATTAAAATATTATCCAACGCCACGCTTGTCTCTAGGAAACATTCATCGATTATAAATTTGGCAAGATCAGTCTTTTTCTCCGCTACTGCTTGCACCAGAAGGGAGTGTCTTTGGTCAAACTGCTGAACAACATCCAGCGACGCACCAATGGATTTGAGTCGCTTCGCTAGTTGCAAGTCTTCGTTTTCCAACGCACAAACCAACGGTGATTTCCCTTCGTTATCCAATAGATCTAGGGGGAAATTCGTGGATATGAGATACTCAACCACGTCATGTTGTTTGTTAGATGCTGCATAATGACCCATGGTTTTTCCCATCGCGTCTGTCACCGATTGTTCGAAAAAGTCTCTATCCAGGAGGAACTTGATCGAATCAAGTTCACCTTTCACTGCCACGGAGTGTAGAACATTCATGCCTTGATCTCCCTTGTAATGGTAGTCTGTAACAACCTGTTTAGAGGCACCTTTTGAGAGAAGATAATGAGCGACACGCCAGTTTCCGTTCTCTATAGCCATCAAGAGAGCAGTCTTGCCATCATAGTTGGATTGATCGATGTGAGCTCCATGCTGTAAGAGGAGAGCTACCATTCGCACCGAGCTTCCAGCAGCTGCTGCATGCAAAGCTGTAAAACCATTTTCGTACCCTACGTTCAAGTCGAACCCAACGCATTCCAGTAGAAGTTTGCATATTTCGAAATTATTCTGTATTGTTGATGATATCACGAGATTCCTACCATCAGCGCAGTGCTCCTTTAACTTGATAGCAGCGCCAGCTTCTATTTGTAGGTAGAGTTTTATTATGTTCAGTTGATTCCATAGTACTGCTGCTACAAAAGGTGGCATAGACGGAAGCCCGCTGGGACCTGTTAGTGAAACATTGGCATCCATAAGTATTTTAACTAGTTCGAAATGTTTCTTCTGAACGGCATAGTAAATGGCAGTGTTGCCAAATTTATCAGCCCAACCGGAATCAATATCGAATTCCCTTAGCAACACTTGAACCAACCTGACGCTTCCTTTCAGAACAGCTGCATGCAGAAGGGTTATGTTGTCCGCTCCTCGATACAGTCGAACTACTGCCTTGCAAGGTAGTATTGATTTGACGCATAGGAAGACCTTTTCGTCAAGTTTTTCCAGAGCTAACATAAGTGGAGTCTTACCTTCCTTGTTCGCTACGTTCCACAAGTTCTCATCCTTCAGATACTCTACAATTTCCACTTGCTTCTTAATGATTGCTATGTGAAGCACTGTATCACCATCGGAGTTCTTAGCCTCTAGATCAAAGTTGTATTGCTCCACCATCCACTTGAATGCCTCCAAATACCCATAATAGGCTGCGTAGTGTAGAGCACAACCTCCCTTAAAGAATGGATGAGAAAACTTCCGAGCATATTCTACATTTACTCCGTAACTTAAGAGTATTTTCACCAGCTCAACATCCCCTTGGGAAAACGCTACAATCAGTGCAGTGAATCCGTCCTGATTACGGATATCCCCTTCGGCTCCTTCCTTCAGAAGGTATTCAGCAATCTTCCTATGAGAATAAATTGCAGCTAAAATAATCGGATAATTCCGGTAATACTTGACCCTAATCGTATCAGCTACGATATGCCAGCTTTCTAATAACACAGGGCAATTTTCCATCGACTGCAGGTTGGGATTTGCTTTATACTTAATCAGAGCCTTTACCATATTGGGTTTCCCGATTGTCACTGCCATTGCAAGTGGAGTAATACCATCCGTATCCGAGGAATTCACCTCACATCCGGCATCAACTAGGAGACTCAGCATATCCTTATCGTTCGCCTTCACAGCACAATTCAACAGCCTTGCCGTATCAAATCCATCCAACTTTGCATGCAGCTTGTCGAGCACGTGCTTGACAAACTTGTAATTCCCCAGCAGAACCGCATTAGCTAGGGTGTAAGTATCAATCTGCCTTACAAAATCCTCCTTAAACCGAAGTACTTTGAGTATAAACTTCAAGGCGGAATCGTCCACTACTTTCCTGGCCTGAGACTGATTCTCGATTATGTTTATTTGGAACCCAGCGCGTAAAAGCAACCAGATCCACTTGTATCTGGATCGGTGGATTAGACTTTTAAATATTCTTTCTCGAAATTCTGGACAGTCAATGTTTTGTTCGAGCATCATCTTGAACTGCTTACTCCTGTGACGTTCAATAGTGCAGAACAACGCGGGATTTTGGTCTGGAAGGGTACAGTCAGCGCCATGCTCCAGAAGTAGTTTAACCATTGCGTCTGTGCTACAGTAGCAAGCCTGGAAGAGAGGCGTACTCTCGGATGCATTCTCCACGTTTACTATACTGCTGTCAAATTTCAGAATGAGCCGAACTGATTCAATTTGATCGTAAAGGATAGACAAATTCAGCGATTCTACCAGAGTACTTTTAGATATTGCCATAGCTGGGTTCGATAACAGCTTTTTCAACAAGACATGGTGACCACTAGAGCCTGCCTGGATCACTAGTTGACACAGAAGCTGTTGGTTATGGAGTAATTCCTCATCGGAAGGAAGAAGCAGTTCAAGGAAGTCATCCTTTCGTACCTGTAATGCGTATATGATGGGTGACTTGTGGTTGGTGACAACCTTCGCTCCAAATTCAAGTAGAATTTGAATACTTTCTCTGCAAGAAGTGGCGATCGCTATCCGGAGAGGTGTCTCCTGACCAGTATTCGTGCGTTCTATTAGCTCCGGACTGACCTCGCATATCCGACGAATGACGTTTGGTAATTTATGCAGAACGGCGTTCGTCAAAATAGTATTTCGAAATTTTGGCGCATCTTGCTTACAAAATTGATACAGCCGATCGTCATCGATGATGGAGAGTGCACATTTTTCATTCCCAAATATTATAGCCACATGAAGACTGTCTGGTGTGTACGCACCTCCATACAGTAGATCCAATTCCTGCTCCAGGTTAAAATGGTGAAACTTCATCGACAAGTAAAATGTCATTTTCTCTCGTATGCTTTGACTGCTGAAAAGTTGAGCCACGGTAAACTCATCATCGTCGTAGAAGTTATGTTCTTGATTAAATGCCTTCTGAAGCAACATTTCCATGAATGGTCTTAGACTCGTCGGTCTTTCAAGCAGAAAATGGATTATTTGTTCCGAGTGATTATCAAACACCGCTATTAGGACACTACGCTTATTGTGGTCACGGGCCTTGAGTTCGAAGCCACTCAAAGTAAGCACACCGAAATAACCTTCTTTAATCGCTTCAAAGAGTTCCGATTTACGATCGACCTGCGTACACATCCATCTGTTTACAGCTGAAACAGAAAAACTAGGCTTATTCAAACGATCCGCCTTTGCAGCGCTATAAAGATCAACATTGCAAAATCGAGATAAACAAACTGCATTCACCATCACAGTCAAAAAGGAACTTCTATTCCTGCAAATGGTTTCATACACCATGGAATCGTGAGCCAAGTAGTTCCGTAAATTACGACCCGAAACTACCGGTCTGTACGATTCCAGCACTGAACGATTATCCGTAAGAACGCATTGTTCCGAAAGAATTCCTAGTAAGTCCTGAAGAATTGCTTCGAGTGCAAAAATATCCACGCTATTAATGCTATACCTTCCACAGGACGCAATCAACGAAACCAACTCCGTAATTTCCATATCGTCTGGTAGGGAGATTATGTCAGTAACATCCACGACGAGATCATTCAGCACCTTTTGACACTCGCCCATATCTTCTTTTCTGCAACGTACCACTGCTGTACTTTTGTAATTCAATTTGTGACGCTTACAGAAAGTCTTAACAACACGGTACTTATCGTCGATAGCGAACAGATTGGCATAGTACTTTTGTAACAGTTTGTGCAGTTCCTTCAACTGGTTGTCCGACAGGGATTCCTCCACCAGCGCGGAACCAATTTGTTTGGTATTGTTCATCAGCGATGCATCATTGACCAACGTCAACTCATGCAGCTGCTGAATTTCACTGGAACCTGCCATTTCAATCAAACTCTGGATCATAATTGTCCTTTTAAGTGAGTGTTCATCAGGTATTCTTGCTTCCAGCGATAAAAGTTCTCGAATCAATGGATTACAACCATGCATAAGGAAAGTCGAAACACCGTATTCGTGACTGTTGGTACTGATGGAGCATCCCAAATAGAAATGAGCCAAATTTTTCTGAAAGCTCAAATTGTCACAGAGCAGCAGCTCACCGATGCAGCATATTACCATTTCGGTCATAAAGTTTAGTCCATTGCGATTAAGGAAATTGATATAAACGTCAATCTTTGATTTTATCTTCATAATAACTGCCAAATTTTGGCTGTGCTGTGTTGCATGATAACTCTGTTCTAATTCTGCTAGCTGATTTTTCAACTTGGATACATCTGAAGTCTGGAAATCATGGGTCAGTTTGAATCCAGGTTGCACTCGACTAGCTTCAGCGTACGAACGAACATCCTTAAAAGACTTCATAGTCAGTGCATATCCCAGAAAGCTCTTGAAATACCTATTAATGTGGTCCGTGTAGATATTCCTCAACAACGGAACTACCTTTAGCAGGTCGGTTTTGACACGCTTGTAGTAATTGATCAAATCTGGGTCGTTGGCACGCAGTCTCCGGTACAGAGTATGCTTCGTAGCTGAATATTCATGCGAGAAATATTGGCGCAGCTTGGAGATCCATTTGAGTAACTCACCAGGGCAAACCAACTCCAAGGCGGATCTCAAATTAGATGAAATGTTTGGTGACTGCTTCGTGGACTTGAGGGCTTCCCCTAGAACCTGCAGAACTCTTTGAATGGCAAGCATTTCTACGTAGCAACTTTGTGCATCGTTTAATTCACTTTTCTCAAGCACACTCAAGTAACGAACCGATTTTTGCAGCGAATACATCTGCTTCAGTTTGAAATAGGTTTTGTAAAGATCCTTGTACAGGTGTTTCATTTTTCTGACCTCAAACATTTTATTAATGGCATTGGATTCCGATTTCAAGAGGTCCAGCTCCGTCTTTGTGAGATCTTCAAACTTTTTGGTGCTTATGTTGGATATTAGTTTACTGTTCAGAATTTTGTTCCTTATCATGATTTGCTCCTTCAAAATGTATTTGGATTTCATTAGATCCTTCCATTTTTCGATAATTGTCTTACACTTTGCCTGGCTATTATCGAATAGAATTATTGTTAGCTCAAACAACGTTTCATGAATCATTCTTTGTTCATTGCCGGGATTTGTGTACCACATCTTAAATTGTTTCAAGAACTCCATCAACAAACGCTTATTAATAACCAGTTGAAACAAATCCAGCTCTGGTTTTCTATCAAATACCGCCAAATACATTGCTACGCAATACTCCAACTGCATTGCTGGAAAATTATCCACTCCATTTTTCACCACAAAAAAGTGCCTTTGAATTAATCTCAATCTTTCCAGGAACTCGTCAGTGACATCATGACACAACCCAGTATCGTACTTCCGCTCTAGAAAATCAATCCCACTCGTTATCAGTTGCATTCGATCCTTATTTGTTTCTTCTGACGTAAGCGATGCACCTCCACACCTTTTCGTTCGGAACGACCGCTCATAGTCTTCCCGCACAATCTTTAAGTGAACAAACACCTCTAGCTCCGGATTCACCACCACATTCATCACTTCAAGCCTACTCCACGCCTTTGCCAAGCACTCAACCAAAAGGGATCCCTTTAAGTCCAATCTCTCAATCAGCATTTCCAAAGCTTCGACCGAACTACGCAGAAGCATCTCATGGATAGCATCAACTGGATCCAGCACGTTTCCGAATTCCACTTCAATTAACTTCCTTCCGAATTGCTTCAAACCATCTCGAAGAGCCAGCTCGCAAGCAGTGAAATTTTCTCCATTGACCAGTCCATAGTCGAGATTGTGACTCATCAGCGCATCCAATACTGTTGGCTGACATCGATTGATAATCGCTAAATGCAACGGTGTGTTCCAATCGTCAGGATACCGGCAGTTTACATTAGCTTCCCTAGTGCAGGCTCGCTGTACCAACTCGACACAATCCAACCGGATAGCATTCCGAAGTGCTGCATCTGATTTGAATAAAAACGAGATCTCAGCTTTTGAAAAATAAAGAAAAATTCAAACAATTACCACGCGGCGGTACTTTAGAATACGCTTCGAAATTGATCGTCATGGCACGTCAACGTTAATAATGGAACTGATTAGAAATATTAATCGCTACAGCTAGTCATACTGCAACTTCATTCTGTGGAAGTTCTTATCACAGCTTATCACTATATCACATATTACTACAATATGCACACTTCAATTTATTTGCCGAGGTTACAACAACAGCCGAGTATTTTTGCAGTTTATTTTGCTGTTCAGTAAAACAATTGCCAAGACTCAGGTAACAAGTTAAATTTTTGGTGAGACCTCAGCTATTAAACAGATATTTTGCAAAAGTATACACACTAAGATTTTTTTACAGGAGTCAGTATTTTTTTACTGGGTTTTTGAATTGCTGAAAAAGTCGGTAAAAATTCAAATGACCGTTATCCGTAAGGAATCAATGAAATCGACCAATTTTATTTTCTATCATTAAATGGGGTTAACAGAACTAAGTATGTACAAGTTCAGAACAAATATTCTCATTAATAAATTTTCCACAGATTTTTAAACTTTTACCGAACAGTTCCGCAATTCAAAAACTCGGTAAAACCGTACTGACTCGATTAGTGTGTATGTATGAGGTAATCGGCTATTGGAAATTTTACCGAGCTATATATTTATATATTTATTCAATTATTCGTCAATCAAGATCGTAGACTACATATTAACATTATAACATATAATCTATTATTTTGAAATTTCAATTTTTGCAGATACATATTTAGGTCCATCATTTCACAGTGTAGGTAGATCATAAACACACATTATCTGACTTATCGGCCCATATTTCGCGTACTTAGCCTACGGCGATCAACCGTCGACTACGAAATTGACGAGAAGGTACATTAAAATTAAGTCTTGATAATAAATAAGCTGAGTCAATGCGTTGCGAAGCGATATTGTTCACGGTAGAGACCATAACAAAATCCCGACGCTCTTTTAATGCCTAAATGTTGATTAACAAGCAACGGACTTTATAAGACGGCAGAGGAAATGCTGTCCATCGCAATAGACGTAGTGCATATATAATAAAAACTGCTTTTGGATTGACTCTATTCGTTCTTCATGCCATTTCATATAAGGTGACCAAACAACACTGCAATATTCTAATATTGGCGTGGTTTTGATCAATGGGATGGAGAGCGATGAAAAGCACGTCTGCTTTGAAACTACCTAAGAAGCCTCTTGACAATTGTTAGTAGGAGTAAAATTATGTTTATTTCTGTTGATTATGATAGTATGTACATTGATTTTAACATTTAATTGATTAGCCTACCTGGCTCTTCATCTTTGTTCAATTTGATTTTCTAATTTAATATTTGCGTTTTCCAACTAGTTTACAGAATACCCCTTTGGGGGTGTGTTTTGTTTGAATTGAAAAAAAGTGAAAATCTACCTAACTACAAGTATAACTTAACCTAACGTGCTAGATCACGTATGATCTGATGATTTGATCTCGGACAGGTGCCTCTGAACCTTTCCAGGATGAATACTCTCCGTTCTTCTAATGTCTGAATTTCAGTCAGGAGGTGGATCTCAGAATTTCTAGTCCGCGAAGACCATTCTAAGGATCTTGTTCTGGATCCTTTGGAGTTTGAGATGATGGCATTTGGCGCAACTCTCCCAGATTGGCATCCCGTATTCAATTACGGGAAGGATGATTTTTTTGTAGACAGCAAGCTTATTTTTCAGGGATAGAGTAGACCTCCTGTTGATGAGTGGATACAGTGATCTTATCAAGATGTTACACTTGAATTTGGTTTTGTCAACGTGCTCCCTGACAATCAGACTGCTGTCTAGTGTTAAGCCGAGGTAGACTACCTCTTTCGGCCATTCCACCACTGTGCCGTTCAGGCAGATCTTAATATTCACCGACGGAACAAGTCTGGGAGATTTAGAGTGTGGAAATATGATGACCTGGGTCTTTGCCGCGTTGATACGGATCTTCCAGCTGTTGAAATATCCAGATAGGACGTCCAGGCCTCTCTGAAGTTTGGCAGTCAACGATGGATGTGTCATCTGCGAACAGAGACAACGATCCACCATCAGGAAGAGCCGGCATATCGGAGGTGAACAGGTTGAATAGAATGGGGCCAAGGATGCTTCCTTGTGGAACCCCGGCACCGATGTTGAAAGCATCCGATGTGATGCCATTCAGACAGACTCGGAACGTCCTGTTCGATAGATAGTTGTTAATTATCTTCACTAGGAAGATTGGAAGACCATACTGCTGCAATTTGAACACCAGGCCATCATGCCAGACATTGTCGAACGCTTTTTCAACGTCCAACAACGCCATGGCAGATGTTTTCGAAACAGACTTGTTCCGTCTGAGAATGTTTGTTAATCAAGTCAGCTGGTAGACGGTCGAACGACCTTTCCGAAAACCAAACTGTTCCTCGAGTAACAAGTTGTTTTCTTCGGCACATGTTAGGAGCCGATGATAGACTGCTCTTTCGAACAGTTTTGATAACCCTGAGAGAAAGCTGATAGCAAGTCGATAACTTGAAGGAGCGGACAGATCCTTCCCGGGTTTCCGGATGGGTATGACTTAACTGACTTCCAACACGAGAGGAAGTAGCCAAGTCGGAGCCCGATGCTTGTAGAATCTTGAACTCAAGTGTTTGAGTTCCAGGCTCAGGATGTTGTCGAAACCTGGGGCCTTCATGCTTTTAGATGATTTGATATAGGCCAACAGTTCTTCAGCCGTAATCTCGCCCAAGTAACCAAAAGTTCTGATAAAAGGCTATTTATGGCTTAAGCACCTTGGTTGAAGGTGGTCTATAGAATTCTAAGCATCCTCATTTGTAAGTCGTTATAAGAACTTGAAAGTTCCGGTGCCATAATTAAAGAGCATTCTAAGCAGCCTCTGGCGGAACTTGAACGGAACTTTTAGAAAATAAATTAAAAAAGGTTTTTGTCCTCTACACCAATTCTATATTTAGTTCGCACTTTTATGAAAGTTATTACTAAAGGCAGGTATTAATGTGTATTGACTTATCAGCATTAGTAGTAGTAATGGAGCTGTTGGAAGAATTAAACTCAGCATGAACCACTACGTCATCTGAAATATATTAAAGTCCCAACTAACATTTTGCACAATGTAAACGCTTTACTCATTTCATTTATACAGTCTCAAGCTGTATTCAAACGTTATACGATATGAGGAAACCTTTACTCAACCTCTATACAAGCAAATCTGGCGAACTTAGTCAGCTACTTATGGCTGTTGGAACGGTCGGGAGAAGCTCTTATTGCATATCCATTAACGCTTCTATACAGCTGTTACCCTGCTGTTTAGTTGTGTGTGAACTTGAAAGGCGCTTATTCAACCTTTTCCCGGTTGTCCAATAATCACTACACAGCTTTCTCTTGAAGCCGGGTTAAATACTGTTTACGCTTTTTTATGAAGGAATTTATTGAGTTTATTTTGCTGTGAATCAAATTAATTGAAATTAGTTACAAATCATCACCAAATTATTTTTACCCTGCACTGGAACCTGGAATCGAACTCGAGATGACCTCATTGGCAAACCTTGACACTACCATCTGTGCTACGCCAACACTTTGAACTTATGTAAACAAATCAACATTCCCTTCTACAACAAAATCGCTGAGTAGAGGCTTTATAATAGTGCACATGAATCACTTTTCTCGACTAGTTATAAAAGAGCAGAGTAAAAGCTGTAAAACTGCACACGTCTAAAAATAAACCTAGTTGACTGTGAAAATGCTTCCGAAGTTGCTCTAACACAGTTTATAAGCTGAGTACAGGTTGTTTGGTTGTTGAAAAAGCACTTTTGATGTTTATATTATTCAGCAAGAGTTGTTGGTTGTGTAGAAGCCATCAAATGAGTAATATATTCACTTTGTTAGCTTTGTTTTGCAGCTACACGTGGAAAGTTTATTAGTGTGTGTATAGAAGTGACATTAGCGTTTATTGGCTGATGTTATTCAGTGCGACTGACAAATTAAATAATGGTTGTGAGAAAGTTGAGTAAACGCCCTCCAAAACTATTTTGCTAGCTTTTGCTTGTAGCTGTATCTGCAGCTTCTTTTCAGCTACTTCACAGCACGACGCTGGAAAAGTTGGCTTACAAAGCTGAAAATGTTAGTTGGGGTGAGCTGTTGTCCCGCCTATTGTTGGAGTTTTCTGAGCCAGCTGACTGACTTGAATACGAAACACAACACATTGATGAATTTAAATTGGTGTTTGCCCACATGGTATTCCATCACACTTGTGGCGCAGTGGTTAGCAATCGTAGATCCCATGCCGAGTACACGGGTTCGAATCCAGGTAATTACTTTTTAATTTTTTTTTTTTTTTTTTGGATAGAATATTGCATAAATATAAGAATTATGATTTATTCGGGCCACTGATTATTTCATATTTACGTACATTATATTTTGTTACAAAAAAAGATTTGTGCGGATTGCTTCATGTGGCTTGAAAGTTCTGTCGGAACTTTATTTGAACTTTATGGAACTTGAAAGTTCTGTCGGAACTTTATTTGAACTTTATGGAACTTGAAAGTTCTGTCGGAACTTTATTTGAACTTTATGGAACTTGAAAGTTCTGTCCGAACTTTATTAGAACTTTATGAAACTTGAAAGTTCTGTCGGAACTTTATTTGAACTTTATGGAACTTGCAAGTGTTGAATGCGGAACTTTTGGTTACTTGGGCGGATTCCTCGGGGAAAATATTGGGAATCTGATGGAGGTTGGTTAAGTTTTCAGCAACGTCAGCTTCGTGAGGGCTGACGATGTTTTATCCGAGATACGAATGAGGCAACCATTACTCAACCTCTATACAAGCAAATCTGGCAAACTTAGTCAGCTACTTATGGCTGTTGGGACGAGACGGTTGGGACAAGCTCTTATTGCATTTCCATTTACCCTTCTAAACAGCTGTTACCCTGCTGTTTAGTTGTGTGTGAACTTGAAAGGTGCTTATTCAACCTTTTGCCGATTATGCAATAATCACAACACAGCTTTATCTTGAAGCCGGGTTAAATATTGTTTCCTTTTTTTTTTTGCTGGAGGATTTTATAAATTTTATTTTGCTGCGAATCAAATTAATCGAAATTAATTATAAGCACACCACCAATTAATTAGCCTGCACCGCAACCTGAACTCTAAATCGAGACGATCACATTGACAAACCCCGACACTACAAACTTATGCTACGCCAATACATTGAGCTGACGTAAACACATCTACATGGCCTTCTACAACAATATCGTTGAGTAGACGCTTTATAATATTGCACACGAACCTCTCGACTAGTTAATAGGATGGATCATTATGATCATTTTTTCAGAAAGAACAATGTTTTTTTGATTCCATTTGGGCTCTCCAACAACTGTGCAAAATTTGAGGACGATTGGTGGTAACCCGGCTTTCCGCATTGCGTTTGAAATTTGTATGGAAATTAGTATGGGAAAACCTACTTTTTTGCATCTTTATTACTAGGGACCACAGTTTTGCACAAACCACGCATGAAAATACGTTAAAGTATAGTTCAGATATATGGTGCTAAAATGCATCTAAAAAAAGTTATGGCTGTTCAAAGATCAATGGTTCGAATTGCTAAAATCCCTTTTTCTGCCAACACTGCCGGTGTACCAATGAAGGTCTGAAATAACTTCGGAGTTTCTTATCTTATCGATTTGGTATGTTCAGATGAATTATTCAAAAACAATTTTTCAATTTCATAGGCATATTAAGTGATGAGGGGAGGGGGGGCTGACTATACCCCCGCTCCTCACTCATTTAAATGGAAGTAAAGCTTCAAACTGCAATAAATCCGGTGTTTCTGATCTTGTCAAGTTGGTATCATATGTATTCAAAAACATGTGCTCCATTGATAAGGCGTAGTAAGATATGGGGGAGGGGGGTTTCTGTATCCTTTCCGCCCCTCACTTATACCAATGAAAGTAAAAATAAAGACTAAAATAACTTCGGAGTTTCCGGAGTTTCCAATCTCTCGAGTTGGATGGGTTATTCAAAAACATTTGCTCAATCTCATAAGAGTAGTTGTAAAGCGAGTACCCCCAGTTCCTTCCCTACTCTTTTGGTGCAATGTACAACGTCAGATATATTCACACAAATGTTATAGGATTGTAATGATTATATTTCATTTTAATATATTCTAAGATTTCTCAGGGTACTTTTTTCGATGCTGTTTTATCCCCTGAAGCAAATATTGCTGTTGAATTAGGACACGGGTGGATTTCTTGATAAGTCAAAAATTAGCTTCACCCCTCATTCAGCCATATCGTTGGCGACCATCAAGGAAGCAACTCGTTGTATCGCATTGACGTAATCTGTATCATTACTCCACTCGTTTGCCGGTTTTTGCATGAAGCCGGTCGAAATTTCGAAAAAGAATCAGCACTGTTAAAAATGACGTTTGACTTGGGAGTGACGGCAAAGTCAGGGTCACCGAAGTGGAAAAACAGCGTATGGGATTCGGAGTGGACAGCAGAAATAATGCACACGCGAGAACTACGGTTTAAAAACTCGGAAACGTTTTATTGTGGTCAAAAATAGAAAACGAACTTGTCGCGAGAAGCGCTTGGTTTGAACTGAAAAATTGTTTACACTTTACACTCTCTCTTGTGCTGTGGTCGGTACAAGGTCTGTAGTGCACGAAGGTATGCGCTGCTGCAAGGGGTGTGTATAATGGTAGCCGTTGCAACCTTCCACAGGGAGTCCAACTGAAACGTAGCTCACTTAAAGATAGCCTAACAAGCGATATCCAACTTGTACCTATGTCTGAGACAAAACTGGGGAAAACAGTTTTCGTTTTCTCCTGTTTTTTTTTTTTTTTTTTATGTGCCATAAAACGGGGTAACATTGATAGTTTTTTAAAGTATATTCTAAATAATGTTTACAGCAAGTACTGAGGTTCCAAGAGTCAGTTCGTCAGTAATATGTTTTAAGGAAATTAAAGCATTTGTACTATTTTTTTTAGTTTTGTGACCGTACTTCAGTTTTTTGATTTGGGGTTACTTTGATAATGCTCGATGAATGTAGAAAAATATGGTTGAAACTCAAACAATTTAGTTCTTTGAATATGAAACTTTGAATGAGTATATAATCAGAAAACATCATAAGCAATAAGAATACCACATTGAATTTGTGATGGCTATATCGAAAATACATTTCATAAGTGATGGTTTGAGTGCTTTTTCAAACAGGCGAAAAACACGAAAATTGTTTTTTATATGTTTCTAAAATATTAAACACATACTATATAAAAACTATATACAATATCAACGGAAATACCCTAAGCTACAATATGATTTACCAATGTATCTAATTTAAAATTTAATTTAATTTAAATTTAATCTTTACATTATACTATCAAAGTTACCCGCATTATCAAAGATATCCCGTTGTACGGTACGACTACTTCTGTGTTTTCTATATGTGGGTGGCCCTAATGGCAGTTTAATATTTCAAATAAAAGCTTTAAAATTTTCCAACTGTTAATAATTCAAACAACATCTCCTCACTAACAAATGAACGGACAAGTGGATATTAAATATTTACACAACAACGTTATGGCGTCTTACAATCAACTGCGAAATCATTGACTATTTAATGTCTCGGCATAAACTAAAACAATATTTTAACTCCATACGGAATCATAACTCGTAAGAAGTAAAAATAGAATAGCAGACAATTTTTTTTTATATATATTCTTAAGAAAAACAAATTTGTATATGTATTTGTACTAGTCTACATCGGTTGATGAAAATAAATAAACAACAATTTTTGTTTTAAAAACTGCATATAGTAAGCTCCCCTCCCCCGCTCTCTAACTACGGTTATGAGATTGAGCAAATGTTTTTGAATAATTCAACCTGAATATACCAAATCGATAAGATAAGAAACTCCGAAGTTATTTC